ACATGAGAGAGGGGTGAAGGAGGCGGGCCAGTGAGGGGAGGGGTCTGCTGGCGATAGTGGGGGGGTTTGCAGCCATGACGACTGATGGAGGAGGAAGTAAACAGATGTCCACAAGCTGGCAGACAGGCCCACAGTGGTCGAGCCATGGAGAGACAGGTGGACATCCAGGAACACAGTGGGACTGCAGTGTAACTGTGAAGCCAAGCAGGGCTTTGCATATAGAACGCAAACACTGGAGTCTCTCATAAATACATCTGTCATTATAATTATAATTTAGGGAACTAAACACAAATCAGGCCCATATTTGATTTTTCTGTGTCCCAGTGAGTCGAATTGAAGTAGTCACTGTTGAATCAGATAAAAAGTCTTTGTTTATTGTTGAACTGGCCAACAATGTGACTCCATCTGGCGCTGTCGACTACATCAAATATTATTTAACAATATATGCATGTAACTAGATTTTATCACTTAATATTTTTAAGCCAACTGTTGACGACTCCCAAAAAATAAGTGGCCGAAGACAATCATCTTCATGACCCTCATTGCTAATTGCTGTCTCTTCCAGTTTATTGTAAGTTGAAATCATGAAATGATGAGACAATGATGATGATGCACCGAGAAAGCCTTCATCTCAGCAATCCAAATTAATCTATCACAGTCCCTCTCACAACCCACTTCAGCATTTTGCAGAGTCACAGCAGCAGTAGTCTTGAGAATAAACTAGAAACTGGAAAGCCATCAGTTTAAATCCCCTGGCAAGCTGCTAAATCAGAGTGCAGGAAATGAAGGAGACATGCTGTCGCCTCCTTTAACACTAACTGTCAACATGACCTTGAGCAAGGCACTTTAAACCCAGCTGCTTTGAGTTGCACTTGTATGCTTGTACTTGCACTTTATGCTGGACTGACTTGGAGGACACAATGAAATACTCACTGAAGGAAGAAAAATACAACTGCCATGACAACATTTGAACAGGTTGAAGTTTCAAAGTGACTTTGAGCAAACCCTGTGTGCGTGGATGACTGTGACCGTGTTGCAACAAATCATTAGTGCTGTGTTATTAGGGTAAATAAGGATGACTTTTCACAATGGTGGAAGAAGTACGTAAGTCAAAAGTGCCTTTCAGAATAATATATATTAATAAGTTATATTATTGCATTATAACTATTGATGCATTTATGTGTATATAACTTATAGACCATGTATAAAGTATATGTACTTTCCACCACTGACTTTTCATCTAGCACCATCAACAGGTCAAGATTGTAATTCCCATCAGCCTCAGCTGTACTTCATGAGAGCTAATTAGGACATGTTAGCGCTAACATGGTAAAATAAGATGGGAAACATTACACATGCTGAACATGTTAGCACTGCCTGTAGGACATGTTAGTACGCTGGTGTTAGCATTTAGCTAACACAGCTGCTACTTAAATACTACAGTAATTGGTCATTTTAAATAAAATGTAACTGTGACTGACAGGAAATGATCAAATTCAACAACACTATGAAAGAATAAGTCAATGATTGAATAAATGAATGAGAGGATGTGAGTTAACATTCCTGATCCATGGAAAATGTTTTTAATTTGATACATGCTCACATAGTCTGATCACAGCATGACTCGTAATGGTGTGATGTTGTTGTTACGGTAAAGAGGGAGATGAGCAGGGCAGACCTCTCTAGTAATGACAGCACCATTAAACAAGACCTCATCAGTTACCATGGAAGCTTATTCATAGCCGGAAAAACCTTGAGAGGCTTATTCTGAGCCTAATCAGCTGCAGCCACTCCAGGAGGACCACCATGAGCAATAAAGGATGACGTCATGTGATGAGTAGTTTGAAAGAAGCTTTTTCTTCCTCAGACACAATATAATCTTTGTCATCATTATTATAAATTATGCTGAATCACAGAGCTGTGTCATGATCATGTGTGTTCACTTGTTTAAATGCTACTTTCCTTTTTATCATCTCATTCTCCTTTCCTCTTTATTTGCATAGAGAAAATGTATTAACCAGCCATGTGAGTCCCTCTGTTGGTATGTGGGAGTTTGAATAATGTCACCTGAAAATTAAAAACATGCTGGATGAAACTAAACAGAAGGTTTGTAGGTGGGTGGCTCGGTGGATAAGTCAAAATCAGGGAGAGAGGATCCAAAAAAGTAAAACATGACCTGGATTTCCTTTATGCTCTTTAAAATCACCATGTGGGGAGTCACCATTGTGCCGTTTCAAGTAGCTTTGTCTGCTCTGCAGATTTTCTAATGAGGGGCTTTGGGAGGAGGATGACAGAGCGCTCTGCCTGTTCTGTCGGGGAGGAGGGGCATTCAAAGGAAATGAGCAATGCTCTGTCCATGGATACGCCTAATACTAGATTCCCCCCTACTCAGATGCCCCGCTGGCAGCTTGGCAGCACCATTAGGACTGAGAAGGGTGGCATTAGTCTGAAACTCTCATTATGTCAGACACACTGAAAACCTCTAATCTAGGCACCAAATGATAGGGGTAGAATTAAACCAAACTGGGCAAGAAGGCAGCAGAGGTGTAATTCAAAGTACTCAAATCAGTTCTGTTTGTTCTTAACACTGGACAACTTTATTTGGAGAGTAAAAGCTGTGCCAGGAATATTTACTTGCACTAAATAGCTTAAAGTAATAATCCATTATGTTTTCATATACACTACCTTCACCTCTGATTGCTATAATACAACACAAATGCACAGAAATGTAGAGATTTAACAGCAGCAATAAATAATGGCATATTATTACTTGTATTATGTTTTTCTTAGAAAACCTGAAAATAAAGAACAAAAGACCTAAAGTATCTAAAGAAACATAAACTTAAATGACAGAAAATCTATTAAAAATATCATGAGACAGGCCACATCTGAGGTAGATGAGCTGATAAAAGTCAAATATTCCACCAAAACCAAAGAAACGTGGCTCTTGCAGGTTATCCCTTTACTATGCAATATACATCAAGGAAGGAGGCATCTATGTGAAAATACTATCACATACTGTAGACTAGTTGCCTCTCATCAAGTTATTATTATGAGACAGATGCATGACAGGTGGTCAATAAATCGCTCTCAACCAAAAAATGTGTGAAGAATGTTGGACAAGCAAGTCTTAGAAGAGGTGATGTCGTTCTGTCTTGTCTTTACATTTACTAATAAACGCTCCTTTCATCTCCACAAATGTTACTGGATCTGTTACGTTGGAAGTTTTATTATAAAAAGTTGTAGAATTTTCTCAACACAAGTGAAAAGCTTCGACCAGTGAAGTCCTGCTTTTAGAGTTCATAACATGTAGTTATTGAGTTCACCAGGAGATGGAAATATTTTACAAGACATGTGGACTGAATGGACTCTACACTGTAGTCAAATCTAACTTGTCATTTTATTGCGGGGATTTATTTGGTGGTCTTTAAATTCTGCGTCTGTTCGTAAGAGATATTAAACTCGACATATGTTTGTGCGTGGATCAAAGGGTTGTTTCCCAAAAGATGTAAAAATGTCAGTGAGCTCGGCCTACACACTGGCTTTGTGAAGAATCCAAAACAGGATTAAGAGAAAAGACGTCAAGCTAATAGACATTTCTGTTATTTTCCTATTATGTCACAACGATTTTCACCAAGCACTGGGGGTTTTCATGTATTTTGTGGCCAGTATGTCCATATAAAAGCTGCTGCTGTTACTGCTGCTGCTCATAAAATGTCATCTACTACTAATAATTACAAAAGCCTCTGTGTATTGGTGGTAGATACAGCAGACATTGTGTTTTGTGGGCTTTGGCATCCAAAATGTCACATGTCTGCCATCTGCTGGACCATTACCACATTACAACATTAACTCCAACCCTCAGCTTTTAGACATTAACACTAAAGGGATAGTTCAGATATTCTGACACATGAATTACTCTCCATCCACAGGGTCTAAAGATGGATCTAATGATACAAGGGCAGATACATATTTATTATGTAATCAATCCTATGATTGATTAAAGGGTATTTAATGTCCTTACCCTTTGTATAATATCTGCTGTGTTGATGTTTACTTCTGTATATTTCCTCTCTGCATTTATATCTGACCTTCTTACAAACGTGTATGTCTGTGAACAATTTTGTTGAGTTCATGCCTCTTGGAAAGCACTTTTTTGACTGACTTTAACTTGCTGACCCTGTGAAAAGATGCTGCTGCCTCTAAAGAGCGTAAACAAGTCTGCTTTCCTGACGTGGCTTTCAAAATAAAAGCACAGACTTGGAGGACTGCGTGAGCAGGACTTCGATTCTGCACTGAGCCGATTACTGCATCATAAATTACAATTATGTAATTTACACAAGTAACAAAATAGTTGTATTGGTCTTATTTCCCCAGATGCTTTTCTAGTCTTCTATGAGTCCCATTCAGCCAGTATTCCCTGAAAGTAACGATGAAATCACAGCCAACAAATGTAGGCCTAACTTAACTTCAAGATTTGGTTTAAAGAGTTCATTTGCATAATGTTTGGTGGCTGGTTCTCTTTGCCCATTCTTTTACTGCTATTGTTTTTGTTCTTTTGCTGTATCATATGAAGCCAAACTTGTTCATTAGGATATTGTTTGGGACAGATAATGACCACAACAAAAAGTTAAAACTAACTGATTTTCATACCAAATTTAAACTTCTTCTGGATGTTGTTTTTCTTTTTTCTTTTTTGTCCTCAAATAAAACCACACAGGCTTTTGATACAGCCAATACACATCACTATTGATATAGAAACCAATGAAGAATAATAGGCCTACATTAATAACTGCAATAATAGAAATAAAAATAGAATAATAACGAAGTCATTGCTTTAAAAATAGTGCATAGATTTTATTTTATTTTTTTTAAAGTCTGGAAAAACACTGGCGCTTAAAAACAGCATCATGGAGGAGGATGACCGCAACAAACGGGAGAGAAAAAAAATCATTTATTTTGAAAAACCCCGATCTAACCGGAAGTCCCCCGTTAAACTTTTCCAGCTGGGCACGCGCGCTCCAAGCAGTGAAGGCTATGGTGGGTGAGGACGCACGCGGACCTCCAGCGAGCTCATCTGACCGACCTGCAGCGGTGTGAACCTTGTTATGAGAACATGTCTGTGAACGAGGTGTACGTGTTCCGGCCCTTCAAGCTCATCGCTCTGCTGTGCGTCTTCCTGGCGCTGTGCTTGGACGTGGTGGCTCTGCTCAGTCCAGCCTGGGTCACCGCGGAGCATTTCTCCCTGTCCCTGTGGGAGTCCTGCTCCCAGTCCGAGGCACGGCTCGACACAGAGGAGGCTCAGTGGAGCTGCTTCTCCACCCTCACATCTGGTAGGAATTATTATTGACTGTTTGTTTGTTTTGTTTTTTGGTTTTGTTTTTTGGGGTGGGGAAGGATGGGATTGTTTGTTTATAACTTTGTGTCCTTGGGAGTTTCGGATGCTGTTGTTGGAGAGAGAACCAGACATGGTGGAAACTACTGTATATTTAGTATTGAAAAGTGTTAGATGGTTTACATTGTTTACTTGTGATTAAAGTGCAGTAGTAAAAGTACTTTTTATGGGAAACTCATGTTATCCAATGCGTAATTATGCCATGTGGGATGGTTTTAAACTACCATATTATCAGGGGCATTTATTTTAGGACAAAAACAGAGGAATATTTGTCTGGCAGCTCTGGTCATCGTCTCCCAGGCACAGTTTGTTTTAGTTGGCTCGTTGGTCTCTGTCCAATAGCTGTGGCATTCAGGGCTTCTTGTGCTGCTGATACATTTCCTCTGTTCATACCAGTGCAGTGACGTGGTGTCACTGAAGGACAAACACATTGTGATGCTCAGCCCAATGCCCCCCTAATTCATGAGCAAGGATGAGGCATCTGCGTTGATGTTGATTTAGTGACACTTTAGTGTTTTATTTTGAAGGGTGAGTCAGTCAACAAAGGGCTGGTGACTCAGTGTTACCAGTTAAATGATGACTTTGATGCTTTTAAACGTTATTTAAACGTTCAGCTTCCGTGTTCAGGATAATAAAGTAACAGTAAATATAATCCCTTGTGGCGCACACACAGTTAACTCCACTCCAACCACCAGAAGGCTTCAAGTGGGTTTGAAGAGACACACACACACACACACACACATACACTGAGCATCTTCCCCATCATCCACCTCACCAGGCCTGGACCCACCAGGTTGCCTTTTGTCAAGCAGAGACGCCACATGACATGAGTGTTTACGCCTCCAACCCCCTTCCTTTCCCCACCAGGGGAGGAAATCCGCATTAAAAGAGCCAGATTTACCAGCATTTGGCTGCTGGCTGGTACAGCAGGTTGGCTCGTTATTAGCCCGAGCTTTGTCTCTACTGTAAAACAGCCATTAACAGGCTGAAAGCAAATCATATAAAATGACATATACATTTAATAAACCTAGTGTTTTGTTTTTTTTACTTATAGGTTGCCAGAAGTGTAGAGAACATTTTATCTGTTCAGAGGTTTTTAAAGGGGCTTTTGGGGCAGTTTGACCACCATCACAGGCACAAACATGCACAGCTATGAAGGGGGGGGGGGAGAGAGACAGCCTTGGTGTGACTGACCGCTCTCTGATATTGTGGAATGTGTTGGGGTGAATAGGAGGCGGGCTTTTTGCTTTGAGTGTCTGCAGAGCTTATTAAAGCAACAGTGGAGGGGTGTGTTGGGGTTAAAGGGGCAGTTCACCACAAAGCAAAGCAGATTTATTATGCACATATTCTCGTACCTATCCCAAGGTTCTTGGATTTCAGTCCATCTCTGGCCGATGCCGAGTAAATAGCAAGCGACTAAAATAACGCCGATGAAAATGGTGTTTCGACCTATAGCTTCAGTGAGGAATAGAAAAAAATGTGACGTTAGTACACAGAACCAATATTGTGCCACATAATGGAACAAAGATGTTACAAAAACATATTTCCCAAAGGCTGAATCAAATCGAGTTCAGATGTGTCTTTGGGGAAGAGTTTCTTTTTTATCATCCTGGTGACAAATGAATCAGGAGCTCAGGAAGAGACAGACACACACACCCAGCAAAGATTGTTTGCTGAGGTTGTGCGCTTCTTCAGATGCAAATTCTCCTTTTGAGTCTTTCGAGGTGAGGCTTTATTCTGACACTGACAAGTGGGACATCAAAGAGGGAACACACAATGCAGGCAGGAATGGAAAAAAATTGTATTTTCTGAATACACTTCTGTTTTCAGACTCACTCACTGAATCAAAGCTTTACTGAACAGAGAGTTAATCTCAGTTCAGAAAAGCTTTAAAATGTGCTGTTTTAACAACCTGGTGTTTGTGAAGGTCTTTCCAGGAGAGGATCCTCTCTCACGAGTTTCGACTTTTCCACCAGGAGTAACTGGAGTTTGTTTGAAATAAATAGAATAGATGTGCTGTATTAAAGCCACCACGGCTGCACCGACATGGAAAAGGCTGGCAGCCCCCGAACAGAAACTCCAGCATCATCGACCACAAACTCTAAAGAGACGTCACAGCAGTTAAACACGCTGACTTACACGTGCAGCAAGAACTTCACATTAGCACCAGGAATTTTAAATTAGATTGCTAACTTTTATTTTTAACGTAGAAAGCAATAGAAATGTAATAAACCTTGATGGAGATAGATGAGCAGTGGACAATGTACTACAAATTGTTCATTATTGTTAGTATTTTTTATCTACTTTGCCTTCAAAATACTGAACATTAAATGTGAAAATATTGACAATTTTTTAAAGGACTGCTTTTAACTGCTGAGATTTTAATTTTAAGCCTCTAAACATGCGTCTAAAATAATTATCTTTAATAACATGTAATTTAGGCTAAATCCAGTTTCTGTGACCACTGCAGCACTAATCAGGTTCTTGTTACTCCTGATGGAGCCGGCTTCTGGTGGAGGCCATTCTGCTTCAGTCACTCCACTCTGTGGGATTAGCCCTTGTTTTGTGTTTGTCAAAACAGCGGTTCAATTCAACGTCCTATGAATCGAGCTTTTGTCAGGATGCTCCTCTCTAACCTGCGTGTGTCTCGTCCTGCAGACTGGCAGATTGCCACCCTGGTGCTGCTGGTGGCCGGTGCCGTGGCAACTCTGGTGGCCTTTTTGGTGGCCCTTATTTCCCTCTGCCGGGGGACACAGAGACGGCACTACCGCACCGTGTCCGTGTTCCTCTTCACTGCAGGTACACCTTCCTCTTCTTTTACTTTTTGCACCAAAAGTTCTAAAATCATTTGTACTGTTTCTGCCTTTTGTCCAATGTTCCTACACATCTTACTCACATACATTTAGAAACAGAAACATATGTTGCCACATACATTCACCCCAGCCACAACAATTTCCATATAGACAGGAGGGTTTTTGTTCCAGTGCTCACATTAAATAGAAGGCTGCAGAAGGGAAGAAGCAGCTGAATGAGGCTTCTGGTTGAGCTCATTTTTTCTGTGGTGTGGAGTCTGGGGAGCTGCCGGCTCATGGGCCAAGAATAAGCAGCCGCAGAATTTGCAGACTTACCAACAAAGTGAAGTCACCGAGGGGAAAACAAGCCACCACAGACTCCTCACCCAGCACTGCCTCATACATGGACTGCACTTACCCTGCATGCTTTGTGAGACAGTCCTTTGGGTGAAACCAAACTTTGACACTGGTGAGGATCTATCTATAAAACATATAAAACATGTAATTAAACCAAAGGTTTAGCAGTCAAGACACATTGTTCCATATACTATACAGGCGTTGTGATAACTGACTCATAGCCTGTGCTTATTTTACTTAAACGACAGCGATGAAACACTAACCACTTACAACCACTTAACTCTTGCCCAGTTCCAGTTTTTTGCCAGTTTCCAAAATAAAATTGGATTATATAAGAAACAGACATCCTGTTATACGTCACAAAACCCCCTTCCTTCTTCTGCAGTTTTCTATAATAAACCTGTAGGATTAGACTAAAAGGAAGAATTTTAATCACACACTTGTTTTTGTGGTGAGTTTCTTTAGAAGACGGATTCCATCTCATATTTGTCTGTTAAATATGGAGCCACAGCCAGCAGCAGCTTATCTTATCTTAACAGCTATCCTCCCTCCATCCAAAGGTAATGCAATCTGCCTACCAGCATTTCTAAAGCTGACCAATCAACATGTTATGTCTAGTTTATTTAATTTGTAGAGAAACCAAAGTGATGTTCAGTATTCATGCTAAGCTAAGCTGCTGGCTCTCGCTTCATATTTAACTGAGTAGTATTGATATTCTCGACTAACTCTTGACAAGAAAGCGAATAAGTGTATTTCGTATGTATGTGTGGAAAGACTTTATTATTCTAAAATCCACAGAAGACCACAAGACACCAAATATGTCTGTATAGAGAGAACATATTACTGTAAACTGCATAAAATAATGAACAATAGAGGCAGTGTTTCCCATGTGATATATTGCTGCAGAGAAATGTTTAATCTGTAATTTAAGTGATTTCTGTCTCTGAAAACATCAGTCACAAAGGACCAGTGTGTGCAGGCGACTTAGTGCCTTTCACTGTTAGCTATTTACTGAAAAGCGTGGGAATGCAGTGTTATCCTTTCCTGTGTGTAATTGCTTTAAGAGCCTTGCGAGAATAAGGCGCACAGTCCTCAGCAGAGCAGCAACAGAGGGGCTGGACTGTTAAATGCCCTTTGGCAGGACTGTAGCTCTGTGGTATTTATTTTCTGTCCGGAAATATGACCTCAGCGGGCTGCAAAGCTCAGTCTGGACTCCATCAACACCGCCACATTCTTGGGCTGCCGTGGTTTCCCTGCACACCCACTGCTCCGTCCTGTAGGAAGGAAAGGTGGAGTCGTAGTCACACAAAGTCCCTTCCTTAAGAGTCACCTGGCATGCACGAAAAGGAACTGAAGTAGCTTGCGCCCCAGTGCGCCTTTGATTGCACACATGCAACGACGTCGACACGATGACCACCGGTAGCTCATGGTCCTGAATGGTTCAAAGGGGAAAATGATTCACAATGATGGAGGCATTAAAGTCATTTTCCGTCAGTAATGTCAAGGTCAAACGGATAATGACGATTGTTAGAAAAGTTTTCCACATTTCACAAAATAAAGGATCTACACAGGCTCCATGTGACTGTCAGGGGAAAAAAAAGAAAGAAACCCACAGGGAGGTGTTTCATACAAAGATGTTTTTTCTTGAAAATAATAAAATATTTTTATGGAGGCTGGATGAGAAAAATAGAAATCCTTTTTACGCTGAAACATATTTTATAATCTTGTTACTGCACTTCTTTTGACCTTGCACTGGAAAGCACTTTTTTGTTCCTCACTTTATATGTTTGTCAACAAAATGCATCATGGCTAAATATATTAAAATGTTTCTATTTCAATTAAATTTTATTTGTATAGCACCAATTCATAACAAGTTATCTCAGGACACTTTTCAGATAGAGCAGGTCCAGACCGTACTCCTTATAAATTATTTACAGAGACCCAACAGTTTTTGTATTGTGTATGACGCAATATTTGTTTTATTTGCATCACCTGAATCGAGAGTAAAAAAAAAACAGTAATTTTACTCGTCAAATCTCTCACATATTAGGTAATTTTTTTGGTAGTCAAATGTAAATAGTAAAAGGCTCAGTTGAAAAGGATGGAAATTACATAAGCATGTTTTTATCTACAGGCTCCTAAAAACACTCAAAAAGGCTCACTTTAAGGAGATCACCTGAAGCAGCAGAGACACTGATATACATAATCACTTTATGTAACCATTCTCTGGGTACCTTCAGTGACTCCCTCTCTCTCCCCCTTTCTGTGCAGACACTAAAAATCTTTCCTCCTCTTTTCTTTTCAAAACCAGCTACAGTCACATATCTGGTTTACAGCAGTCACGTCTTTTACTTGAACAGTGCTTTTGTTATGGACTAAATGGTTGCAATTGCCAAAAGCAGAAACATACTCCTTGTTGTTGGACAAAAGTAAGAAAGACGGTGAAACAGACAATACAGAATAAAATAACAAAATGTAAAAACAATAAAACAAAATTTGCAAAAAATGTTAAAATTGTGAGAAATGCAAAGAGGATACAAATAATATCTATAAATAATAAAACATCAGGTAAAAGTAGAACTGGCAAGATTTTTATTTATAGACCTCATTGTACTTGGTTTTATAATATAATAGTAGTAGTAGTAGTAGTAGTGATGGTGGTTCAAGTGATATCAGTAACGCAAATACTGTTGTAGTATTTAAACATGACAACATTTGTGTTGCCCGATACATGATATTATGATATATGTATTAAATTTACAGCCACATAAGACAAAGAAAAGCAGCACATCTTTACAACTGAGAATCTTATGTTGACTCTCGTTTGGTTCCAGTGGTTCTGCAGGCCTGTGCTCTGGTCCTCTACCCGATCAAGTTTATCGACGGCACGGTTCTTCAGACCTATCACGAGTTCAACTGGGGCTACGGGCTCGGCTGGGGAGCCACCATCTTCATGTTGGGAGGAGGGATCCTTTTCTGCCTGCGGACGGACATATACGAGGATGCAATGTACTGAGTCCTTTCTCGAACCCCCGCCCACTGGAAATACACACATAAACATGTACACCCACACACACGCACACACAGACAAATTCCCATACAGGAGGTGGGCTTCACTCTGCACACAGCCAATGCATATGTGAGCACAGACTCTGATCTTTCTGCTTCTCTTGCTGTCTTGCTCTCTCTGTTATTTTTAGACAGGTTTTGAAGGCCTAATTTAGGCCAGGGCTGTATGAGTAGGACCCCCGCCACCCCTCCTCCCCATGCCGCCAGTGGGCTTCTGAGCCCTGCCGGAATCGGGAGTGAGGCGGGCAAAGCTAAAGCACAGAGAGCTTTCTGGACAGGCACGAGCCACAGATACTGGACGCTTCCACTGCACGTTGACCTGGATCTCTATTGTTAGAGAAACAGGAAAATAGATTCTCAGCAAAGACCTGAATGTGCAGTGACTGAACATTTAAAGGGACTGACTTATCTCCACATTTCCTTTTTTATTCTTTTTGTAGCATTTCACAAGGACGAAGCTTGTTGTTAATGTATTTATGGCATCATTTTCCACTTTATGAATATTGAAAAAGCTGAACTTCTACCTTTCGTGTTTTCTAGCTGAAAAATATCTAGTAATGCTAAGCCTTCTGATAGTAGAAGTGTAAATTAGACAGCTTCGATATATGCTAGGGCTCTCAAGTGTTCATAGTTTGTTTGGAAACTAGTTTCTCTCATATGAAAAATGTAAATGTGTACAAAGTATTTCTACATGAAGGAATCTCCGGAATAAACAGTTGTAGTTTTGGAAGTATGGAATGTGAATGATTGTTGTTTTCAATACTACGATGTTGCATCCTGCAGTTTATCTATCGCTCTGACACCAGTGGTTCACAAACAAACCTCTGACAGAATTTTAAGAGGGGAATCAGGCAGCAGGGTGTCCCCCCGCCATTTGGAGCAAACAGCACACATTCCTCAGAGGAACCACCCCATGAATTTTAAAGAGACATCACCAGGTTGCCAGCTTGCAGCCTGTTGATGTGTAAAAATCTGACCCATTGGTTGAAGCATTGAACACCCTAAAACATTTTATTGCTAAGCACAAAACATGCTTTGCAGTTAAAACGTGCAACTTGCTTGTCATAAATAATGTGCTCACAGGCTGAAAATAAAATTACAACAACCACTGATTATGAAATAAGACCAAATCAATCTTTTTGTTTACCTTTTTAGTTTGCAGATCATAATATATTTTATTCATGTTTTTTGTCCAAGTGTGCCAATGTGAGACAAGTTTAAAAAGATCTGTATTATTTAGAGTGTTTTGTGTAAAACAGAAGGCGCAGCCACACCTGAGCAGCCTGGTGTGAAGTCTCCCTGTACACACTTTCTTTACCCCCACAGAGTTCTGTTCTGTAACAGCTGGTTAAAGAATCTCTGGAAAGGGAACGTCTGCAAATAAACAATTGCGCAGCTGCAGCAGTGTGAAAACTTCCCAGCTGTGGACAATATTTACACCTGAATCAACAGCTCCAAGGGAAAAAGACCAACAAGACTGTGTCATGTGAACCTGATACTGGGCTCCTTTGAGTAGTGTTATGTGGTGTGTTGAGTGTGTGAGGTGCCAGGTCAGTGGTTGTCTTATAATAGCAGTGACCTCTCGGGAATCTTCGAAATGTGACTTACGAGTTAAAGGTGACGTGGTTACACAGCAGGCAGGCAGAGAGGTCACACATCATACAGTTTACATACATACATAAAGCATGACGCAGATGTGATGTCACATTACTTTCATGTCCCACATACATGTAAAGCATGGTCATTTTAGTTAAACATTACTGGAGAACACAAAGTGAAAGATATATACATTTAAAAAAAACATGTATTATGTTATATATGATATATTATCTACTATGGAAGAACATTTTAAAACTTTCAGGTTACACAAACACCCACAGTTAGTCAGTTGATCAACATCATATGCAAATGTATTTCCCACAGCGAGTTTTCTTTGCATCTACTCTGCAGAACAGGGTGTTAAATTATGCACTGACTAGTTTGGGTGCGTTGTAAAGGTCAAAGGCCAAAATGGGCCAGTAGCTTTTCATTCTCTGCACTCCACCCACACAGTTATGGCTCTTCTTACATTACATGCCACTGAATAGTAAAGAGAAATATGCACTTGAGCAAAATGTCTCACCAAAGGTATTGTTCATGTTTTATGGTAAATCTAAGTGCCAGTTGTCTGTTTTCCCCCCTGTGATCTGAGTGTGTTTGCTTGCTTTTGCTTTTGTCACCCGCATGAGCACCATGTAGGAACACAGTCTAGTGTCCAAACTTGATCATATCTAGTGTGTTTCTCCATGCTATATGGAAATCAAGAGGAGTAACATTGATAGAAAAATGTTTGATATGAATTGTTTAGTTTTTGTTTGATAAGCTGGAAAACAGATTTTAAGCCTCCAGTGCTGCTGGTGGCGAGATTGTTCTGATACAAATAAGCACAAGATAAGCACTGAGGTCAATCAAAAATGGTAAATGAATGCATATTATAAGCTGATTTCACACAGAATATTTTTGCAGTTGAAGATAGTTCTGCTTCTCTGCAGCTGCTGCTACATGCTCTCATCTCTAAATCCTTTGGACATGACCACAGCTGTAAATTCAGAGCATTAGCACAACTCTCACTGTATATCAGCAAAAGAAATACAACCCAAAACAACCTTTACTCCAGCTGTTAGGTATTAGGGCAGACAACACATTTAGTCACATTTGACTGTAAATCTCAAGCAATGAATTGTCTTTGTAGTAATGTGGCCTTGGAGAATAGTCTGGCCCCTGGGCGCAGTAACCAGCCAGGCCCTGCACTCTTTCATTCTGCAGGGACAGATTCCAGTTACTGAACCTGGGGAACAGAGACAAAAATGGACTCTGACACCTCGTTGCCTGGGGAGGTAAATTATTGTTGTGAGTAATATAATAATGCACAGATTCTGAAAATTCCAAGAAAATGACGAATGAAAACCTGAAGTTGTACAGCTGCTCTTCTGATCCTCAGCAGTGGACGTCCTCTGCAGACTAGTAAGGCAGATAAATAGACTGAAGGTAACACCTGGGCTACACATTACCCTCCAACCAATCCTCTATCAAGCTTGGCTCCACCAAAATTACATATTAACCTGAAAAAAAGTTACTCGCTTCTCCTTCACTGTTACGCTTGTGCTGCCCTGCAGTCCCCTGGGTCCCCTGAAACACAAATACAACAGTCAAATCACTTGAATAACTTTTGTGTTTCTCCTCAGAATAATTATATTATTCATTGAGCTGCAAACCATCCATTATCTTCTGTTTAATCATGCAGCAAGAGTGCTTCATTTGGACGAGACTCTACTAGAGGTTGCACCTAATAACCACCCATAACACAAAAGTATTAGTGTAAGTGAGTGCATACTTTATTCAAGATTCTCTCACTTATTCACCGATTAATCACATAAGAACTCTCTCGTGTTATTAATGAGCCAAATGCAGTAAACAAGAAAGACACAACTACCCGTAGACACACACTGCACATGGATAGTCAGGTATGAACAAGGCAACCTGGTGTGGGAATCAGTCAGCTGCCTAGCTGACCTTCTGGATGTCAATGAATGTTGGATCAGTTGCTAAAAAACAGTATCAGCAGATCCAGATGGTTACTTTCCCAACACGAAAGAAAATATCATGCAGTGAAAATTCTAAGTTTAATTTCTGCTTGCATTGCATATTGATGAGTTTAGTGAGATATATATGAAGCATCAACAGAATTGCATCTGTGTGTTAATTAAGGGCAAGGATGATAGTAACTGTTGATCCAAATCAGAGCTTCCTTTGGCGTTATAAATCTAGCTCTGTTCTTCTTCAGGCAAATAGCCACACGGAAAGGTAATGAGAAATCCTGTTCATAACAAGATCTCCAGTGGCAATATAAATCACATGTAGTCCACTGAAAATATCCATAACATTTCATTTCTAAATATGTTGAGTGCAATACATTATGTGGTCACTGGAGGGCAACAAGAGCTGTAAAAAGTGACACCTATTCTTTATGCACAGTCAAAAGCAGTGTATTTTACCATGCATATTGGTATTGTGTCATGCACCATATACATATAGATAAAAGGGAAAATATTTAAATATAAAGGCCAGGACCATGTGTGTCAGAGTTAAAAATGTAACATAATAACAAAAGTCACAGTCCTCACTGAATCTTGACCCTGATTCTCCACATTGATGGCTATTTACTTGCAAGTAAAATGTCACAGTTGAAAAATACTATTATTTGCATACAAAAAATGTTTTCAAATGAATAATTTCTGGTTCTTCTCAGATGCTGAGCAGAATATTCACAACTGACCTGGTGTTGCACGTGGAAATCAAAGAGAAAATGTTGCTCTTCACTGTTTGAAATGACAGAACACTGTATGCAGCCATATATTTGAAAGTTACTGATTACATTGGATGTTCTTATTTCAATACAGTATTATTTAGCTTTTATCCAAACAAATTACAATAGGTGCATTCAAACATGCAACCCAAAAATGTAAGGAGTCATGCAGTCATCTTTATAAACTACAGTCCTGCTGTACATAAGACACCTTTTATTTTTTATATAAATGCAACAGTGCAGGATAATTATGATACTTATATCAATACAAAATCAAAATCAAGACTGTCCTTCATGACTGGTATTGAGGCCCCTGAGGCTGAAAAACAGGAAATGTATTCAGAAGTGAAAATGCAATCAAAGCAATCTGATAATACAACTATATAAACATTATATGCAAAATGCAGCAGTGGTAGTTATCGCTGTTATCAAACAAACAGTTCAAACAAATGATGAAAGACATGGTTATGCAAACAGTACATGCATTATTTTTAATGTACCACTTTTATTTTCAGAAGTAAATTGCCTGTACTTGTTTAGTCTTAGAAATATTTTAGTCTCCACTAGATTGTTTTGTCTGCTGGGGGAGAGACAGCTTTAAATCATGCAGAGTTCAGCAAGTTCATTAACATCAGTTTCAGCTGCAGCCTGCAGCATTGTTTTGAGTAACACACTGTTAGCAGCCATTATATCCACTTAATTTTCATTAGGGGTGGTAGTGAGTCCCTCACAAAAGGAGGAATAGAATATTGTAACTTTTATCACATTTTTGAAAGTTAGAACAAGGAAAGAAATGGGTTTGGTTGTATAGATTTATTGCATTGGGTGACTTTGAGGACTTTATTATCTTTATCTATCTTTTGAAAGGTTTGGGAACCCCTCTTCTATAATATACTGTCTTTAAATGATTTACAATACTGCAGCTCATGGTTCCTTCAACAGTACACACTTTGAAATAAGCCATTAAATAAAACAGTTGACATTGGCTTGTTAGACATTTTGTTAAAACAAAAATCACATGTTGTTCCATTGATAACAAAACCCAAACTATGCCTGCTCACATCCATCTTTTGTTGGCCTGCACATCAGTATAGTACGTAAACTGAAGGAAGAGTATTTAAAAAGAGTAGACAACTATGAACACATATCAAATGTTATGGTTCAAAACTCTTGCTTTAAGTAACAGTTTGAACCACAGGTTGAAATTATTTCAGTGAGGATGATTATTACAAAGCATTAAATGTGATGATGCCTCTCAGACCCCATAAACACAGTAACACAAAGACGTACGAGCTCAGAATAGTATATAAGCATGAAAACTGCGTGTGATACATTCATTTTCCGCATTTCAGCCCTTGTTTATGCTCTTATAAAATCTGTATAGCTATAGTTATAAGTGACAGATTTTGAATACAAAAAGATTTTTTTAATGATGCATAAAGTTACTAAAACAAGTAATGACAACATCTGACCAACTTTACCATTTAATACAAAACATATACAAAAATCAAAGGGTAGGTGGGGTACATTTCATATAATACGTAATTGAGGCATTTTGGCATATTTTTAAACAAAAATGTCTTAACATTGTTTTGCAGTCATGCTGAGTTACTTAAAACTCTTCAAGATAAAACTGGCAAGGAGCAGTGGCATTACAAACCCGTGACACACTAATTTCTTCAGTTGTAACCCATTTAAAGTAAAGAAATCCCACTCAGTCTCATTATAAATTCTGTAAGGGATGAAAGACTTCACTGACTTGAAGCAATGAAAATCCATTTCACATGTATTAACCCTGTAAACTGATATGATTATGATTTTAAAAGCTTTGTTGGCTGAGCTAACTGGCAACAGTTAAGGCAAAAAGTAAACAATTAAACAATAAACATAAAAATGAAATCAATAAAAAGTTCATCACAACATCAAAAGGACCAATAAACTGGCAAGATATCTGGCAAATAGTAAAACATCAAAAACTAATTCCCAAAGAATGAGTAATCGCTCTTGAACACAACATATTCCAAGTAACTCTGCTGACTAAATCAGCTGGCAAGTAAACAACAAAAACTGACAATGACAACGATTGATACTTTTCTCCATAATGTAAAACTTTCAGTTAGCATGACATCTTGGAAGACATATTCAAGCATTTGTATAAAAATGGAAATTAAAAAAAGGCAAGCATAGGACAGAATGTTGAAATAATATAATACTGGTTAGATTTTCTTGTAAATAACCCACTGTAACCTTCAACCTAATATGTAACGTCTTCAGTAATGTGTAACAAACTCAAGTGATGACTGTGTGTGCATCTATGAGAGTTTTGTTCTGTATTTTTTTAATCATGGACCCTGAACAATGAGAGAGGTGCAGTGCAACAATAAAACATCTCTGTTTGAGAGCGGTGAAGGTTTTCATGTCTTTTCAGGCTTCCACCACTGTAAGAACTAAATTTCTGGCAAACAGTGTGGTGAGCAGAGAGTCCGGCTTCTTCACTTGTTTTGAACTCCTCCTACAATGGAAGAACAGTTTAGAGTGAGCTTACCTTCACATTTCATTGTATATCTCAGTGTGTGTGCATACTACACTGTATTTGTGTATTTACTCACACTTTGAGCACTACCCCCACACACAGCAACAGCACCAGTATGGTGATGATGGCAACAGCAATATACACATAGACAGGTACCATGTCCCATTCTGGTTCAAGTGCAATTTCGTTCTTTTCTAAAAGAAAAGCAAAGACACACACAAGGTTTTGGTTTGTTTTCATTATATTTAAATATCCCTACAAGCAAAAAAACATTTATCACTGATACTCACAAAGCCAAGTCAACTAAAATCTACATAAGCGGTTAAAATATGCACCTGTCAACAAAGAAAACACGTACAGAAATGATTTAAATGTAACCAAAAATATGTAGTCTCTTTTAGCTCATTGTTTGTTCAGTCCCATCACTCTCAATACACACAGACAAAGTTACATCAAGTCAGCACGAATATAAATTCCAAACAAAGCAGAAGATTAATATCTGGACATAATCCAAATATTAGGATTGGAGCCGTTTTATAGTATTTTGTATTAGAGGTTGAATGAGGGTGAAGTGTTGACTTTCAGATTTAACTTAAATCCCTGTCACTTTCTTCTTTCAACGTCCAAACATTACAGTACATTATGAATATGCAGGGCCATGTGGAGCAAATTATGTTCACCCAATATGGATGTACACCCAATCCAGTGGTTTGAGGGTAGTAAGAGCAACATAAATATACAGGATATTTCCAAAATCCAGTGTAGATCATATAGTGGATTATATCATGTTTTTTATGTTGTTGTTTTTTGTTGTTGTTGTTGTTTGTAATGTAACCAAATTTCCAAGTACTTATAATGCTGTACTGTATAATTATATTTCCACCAAGTAGGGACATCATAGCTCTCTGCTCTTCTGAAATGCATACATTTAGTCTTTCTGGAGTTATGTGCAGTAGAGTCGATTAAATAAAAGATGGTTTCATCAGCATAAAAACTGACATTGTAACATTCAGTTGGAAAATAAATATTATTTATGTACACACAGAGTTTGATTATTCATTTTATTGCAAAAAAATTAAACCAACAAAAGAACGAGGTATTCCAGTATTAGTTGATAAACAAAAAATGAATTACAGAACCTGTATTGACCCCCTCCCCCGCTTTTCCTTCCTTCCACTCTCTGCGATGTGTATTGGAAGCTTTCACAGTGCACACATAAGGGCTTCATGGTGAGCCCACAGTCCCTGTTCTTATGGGGGTATATCCCTATCTTTATTCACGAGCGTGGTCTTTTATTGATTTCACCTGCAGATTTGTAAAATGCTTTCCTTCAAAACTCTGCCCTCGCACTCAAACAGCCCCTGCTTTTGGATCCTCTGTGCCATGACCACTGACAGCAATGACTAGACCACTGACAGCAATGACCCTGTCAAAATCCCCCAATAGGAAACCAGCCTCTCTGCGGACGCGCTCGCTTTACTATTAGAGCGTCTCATAGGGGCAGTGTTACTCTTTAACTGAGTTCATCCACTCCTGCCCTCATCACATCTCATCTCATCTTCATCCGCTTATCTGATCGGATCGGGTCACGGGGGTAGCAAGTCCAGCAGAGGACCCCAAACTTCCCTTTCCCTGGCCACATCGGCCAACTCTGACTGGGGGATCCCGAGGCGTTCCCAGGCCAGTGTTGAGATATAATCTCTCCACCTGGGTCCTCGGTCTGCCCCGTGGCCTCCTCCCGCCCTCTGTTGCTTTATTTAATATACTTCTCTTGCTTTTTATACAACTTTTGGAATAAAGGGACTGTTATTATTATATACCAGTGCCCGTAGTTTTTGCTATATAATAGATACTAGGGTTTTTTTTTTTGTATTGTAGTAGCCTTATAGCACAGTGGCTTCCGCTAGACACGAAAACAAGGTCACTTTCATGGTTCAGGACCAGGCCTAGCAGATCGCTGGACAACAAGGTCCCCCTCACCCCAGGGACTCACAGATTTGTGAGAAAACATTTTTTTTCTGAATTAACTCTTTTTTCTACATCAAGACAGAGATACTTTTCCCCCAGAGCCTAACACAAATCCTGTATCCAGCCTCCAGCCAGCTCCAGCAGGCCCCCTGGTACTCCGCTGGAGAAGTAATGAAGGAAAGCATTACAAATCTGCATGTGAAATCAGTAAATCATGTTCTCAAACTAAAAGACCACGCTTTTGAATAAAGATAGGGAAATACCCCCATACAAAAGTGGAGTTGCAGGGAGTGAAGAGGGGAGACAGAGCCCTGCATGAGTTTACTGGAGCTTGCTGGAGGCTGGATACAGGATTTTGGTTCGGCTCAGGGGCACGGAGAGCGTGCTTTGTTTCTGTTTTTTTTTTTTTCATGAAAAAGTAGTAGTAAGTAGTAAGTAGTAAGTAGAAAGGCGCGAATGCAGAATTTCTTTTTCTTTCTCACAAATCTGAATCACTGCTTTTTTTGTTGTGGCCAACTCCCATTCTATGGTGGTGTAGACAAAACGATACATTGTAGACAGATTGTGTGAGTCACCACCAGCCAACAAAGGCATGACTGTTTAGTTTGTCATCAAGGTGCCTCGGTCAGTTAAATAACTTCAGTAACTGTACCTTTAGTTCAGGCCACATTCGTACATATTTGTAACCTTAACTTGCAAAGAGCACTTTGTACCTTCACAGGGGTGCCTTGAAAGGGGGGGCCAGGGGGGGCCACCCCTATAAAAAATTTCTGGGGGCGCCCCTGTACCTTCATGGTTGATGAGAAGTTGGCCTACGTCTCATGAGGGCCCAGTACGGTTATTACTGTACTTACATACATGCACTTTTCAATATGAAAATTTATTATAAAATAGACCATAATATAATAAGTATAATGTAACACTCAACAAAAACTCAACTGATGAGGATGTTCTGAAGCCTAATATAAGGCAGAACCCGACTTACTGACCAAGAAATTTAAATTCACCAAATTAGATACTAGAGGTCTATTGTTTGAGGTTCAAAAAAATTATTGCAACATTTTCGTTTTGTTCAGGATGTTGTCAAAACCTTCTGAAGCCTAAACAGAGTACGGTCCTTCATCTCTCTCTCCAAAGGACCAGAACTTGGCATCATCTGTGTCTATAAAACAAGAACAAATTAGAAAGTTAGGACAAATTGTGATGTGTAGTTTTTATAAACCATGTTATAATTCCTTCTAATATTGAATTACAATATTAAATATAATTTTAAAGGTATTTAAGTATATATCAGATTAAAGGGAGATTTCCACACAATGTTGACAATGTATATATGTAGTTTTTATGGATTTCTTTACAACATTAAAATCTAAATTCTCTTCAGCTTTGAAAATGATAAGGAGCGAAATAAACTCAAATTGAAGTTGACATAACAACAGAAGGATAGACAATAACCATAATTGATTTAAAATATTACAATGCCATATATTAATAATTAATTTTTTGTAATATCATACAAATAATAATTATAAAGAATAGAAATTAAACTTACCATTTGATGGCATCGGAGTCTTCAAGCCAGGAATCCACAAAGTTGATTGTTTGACTGATTGCTGATGTGGCTTTAAACAAAAAAGTTGCTTCACAGCTTATTTTGTAATTCCTTTATTCACTCGAAAACACCCTTTGAATAGATCCTTCAGAAATGTGGTATTAAATATAAATCTTCAGGAATTTAAACTTATGAGTAATTGGATTATGGGGAAAAGACTCATGGGAACATCCAAAGACAGATATTAATGATTGATTAAGGATTAACAGTATTTTTCCACAGCAAGTTTGTCACGCCAGTGGACTGATTCCATGCTATTAATTATATGTATATATATATATATATATATATATATATTTATTTATTTTTATCTATTATATATCAGGTTTTCTTTGTAATGGTCAGTATTACACGGTGGCAAGAAAATACTGGTGTTTTAATGCAGTGTCGTAGTACATTGAAACATCTTTACCTGGGTGGCATGCTGGACGGCTCCACTCACTCCAAAAGCTTTTGTCTGCACAATACTTTTGCAATTTGGATCGAACCCTGAAGCAGTTTTTCTCTTTGTCGTGGATGTAGGGCAGAGTAAGGCTCATCTGTTTGGTTATAACATAAACCTGTCAACAACGAAAACATGTAAAGAAGTTATTTAAATGTAACCACAAATATGTAGAGTCTCTTTTGGCTCATTGTTTTTGGTTTTATGGCACATCCATAACAGCTAAAGACCTTGCTTCAAAGTAAGCACTTCCTTATTATGTGGTGTTAAGGTATTTTAACACTGCTGTCCTGTATGTGTTGTGGTCTTTGCACAACAAATAAAATCAAGAATATATTTATATACTAATTTTTGTTACCCCCATTGCTCTTGGGTTGGGTCTGTTAAAGTGTGAGATCATCCGACTTGCCAAGATCTTCAAAGTGCCAACAGTGTACTTAATTGTCTGCTATTGTTAACACTGACAAGCATAGATTGATGTTGACAATATGTCTAATACTAGAAAATCTTGTAGACTTGTAGCGTATTATATGACTGCCATCCCGTCTTCTGCAGTTGGCTCTACAATGCTTTCATCACTCTTGGATCTGTGGAAGCCAATAAAAAAAAGGGTTGTGGAAAACTGTCCACCCTCTGCACTATGATTATTGGGACAAAGCCTCTTTAACTCTAAGGTACAGTGAGTACCTTAGAGTTACTCAACAGAAGTAATGTACATATAAGGTTATCCATACCGGTGTGGTTTTTCCATCTGGTCCCTTTTGATAGCGTTCCACCTCCCATTTTAGGCAGTGTCCAGGAACTCTGCCAACAGGACGGTCCCAGTGTAGTTCCAGCTGCGTGTCTGGGCCTGTTTGCAGAATTACTTTCTCCGTGATTTCAGGCTTTACTGCATTGATATTAAAACACAGAAGAGCAGATTATAGATTGTGACAGGAGGCACAGAGGGCAAACTCTCAAAACATGAGGGTAATACACTCACTGAATGGTAATATTAAGGCTGTACTATTACCAGAAGGCAAACATTCTTTTACCGTGGTTTTGAATTTGCAGGGAGATGAATGTTGGTATCAGGGGCCCTTCAGGAGAAGTGCCATTTACACAGAAGATGATATCAGTAAAATCAGGGAGAGATATCCCTGTGAAGTTGCAGCCCTTCCTGACTCCATTCGAAATAACATATATTGGGCATTCCTCTGCCTGTTCCAGTTCCCCGTGCCTGTGGAAGAGACAACCAGATAATGTACTGCTTAGATGGGTTCTATTAATTCATTCATTCAGTTTTGTTGAGAGTTGGTGAGGTTTGATAAGATGTTAATTGGATGTTAACCATCAGTTCCATTTTTCAAGGGTCTGTGGCCCTTGTTTAGTGGTACTCAGTAGTATCATCAGCAATTCCCAACATAATTGGGACAATCTTGTTGCTGATGACACTGAAGTGGATTTAATAGGTGCACGAATAAAAGAAACAAGCTGTTGATGCATGTTAGCATTAAGCTTTCGTCAGAACTTCTTCCAGGATTTCAGGTGCAGTTGTTTTCCCAATCGATTTTATGGTATATCCTTTAAAAGGTCACAAGTTATTCTTAGCAAAAGCTTCACACCAAAATGCTGCAGCAGTTTTGTCAGTCCATGAGTTGTCAAGGTGAATCATAAGTAAGCATTTCAACCTGCTCGTAGTCCTAGATGCAAAGTCAAGAAATCACCAAAGTTGTTAGGATTCATCCTCTGAGGATCTTGAATATCTGCCCAAAATTATTGGCAATCTATCCAACGTTTTCGAGACATTTAATTCAAAACCAACCTAGTGGTAGTGCTAGATGAAAAGTCAGGGGATCACCAGCGTGGTTAGGATTTATCTTCTGAGGACTGTGAATGTCTGTACAAGATTTCAAAGGGAGATATTTTGTTCTGGAGCAAATTGGTGGACTAACTGACTTCTGCTTGTGTGGCTACAAACTGTCTTTGATGGGCATATGACCTACCAGAAAAAAAGATTTTGCTGTGAGTTGGCCAGCATCTTCAGGCTTTTTTCCCAATTGCACATCATATAGTTCATGTTATGGTACACACAGACAAAATCCTGAACTGCTGTACCCACAACACCTAGAGGTGGAAAGGTGAATAAAGCCAATCAATGTCAATTCATACATTTTCCAAATATCTAATTATTGATGTTTTTACTACCATCTATTACACCTTTAGGTCTCACCTGTGTTAGTAGGTTTCTGGACCAGTTCAGTGTAGCTCGTACTCTTGATCATAGTGCCATTGGTGCAGGGTCCGCTCAGCAAGGTGTACAATCTCACTCTAACATCTTTTGTCAGATCAAACTGAGCACTGTATGTTCTCCTGGTGGTCCTAATAGTCTGCCAAACCAGAAACACATTCCTGTTATTCATGATTTCCATTGAAATGTTGTTATGGGTAATTAAACGCTTGAATCCCAAGCTGATTATTGCTGTCTGTCAAGTCTGATATAAATTTGACACCTCAGTTGTTAACTTGAAAAGCTCACGTCCTGAACTGTTCTAGTATCGTATCCTAACTCGTGTCCTGCCAACAATAAACACAGTTTTTTAGCCAATAACAACAAGACAGGGATGGGCATAAATTATATTTATGCCCATCCATTTATGTCAAGGTAAAGCTTTAAACATCTACAATTGAAATTGTTCTGACTACATGAGATTATGAAAGAGCTTAATTAATGCATAGCCATGGCAGTAGAAATTGTCGTAATCATCACCATAGCCAGGGTCATTGTCATAGGCACAGACGTTATTACTGATGTAGTCATATCTGTGTTTGTCATTGTAATCTGACCCCTTATTGCGTCAGACACCAGCATCCTTTGGAAACATTACTATCTTTGTATTGTTCTTTTACTCCTACGCAGTCAAGGTAAGGCTGACATGGGAATTTTATGGGTAGTTCATTCTTAGTCAAGCATATCATGATGCATTAACATATGTTTTGGTTTAGATCTATGGCTTAGGCATCTGTTTTTTCCCACCAAAGAAAAAAAACAGAAAACATACTAAGTGGTTGTGATGAAAGGCATTTTAGAGGTGAAATTTACTGGAATATTCTCCAAGGATCAAAGAGTCTTCACAAGAAATGAAAAACATACACTGGTTCTCACATTAAAATGATGATGATTATGTATGACTATGACATATGATGTAATCCCCCCCCAACCTGAGGATATGGCAGCAGAACTAAACCAGCATGTGGCACATTTCCACAGATGTGTGCTAAAGTATTGCACCTACATGCTGATATTTTAATACTTCCAGACATTCACACACACAAGTAAAGATGGCATGACAATGCTACCATTACTTTGATTGCCTTCAGCTGATTCTGTTCATCATATAATAATCATACTTGGCAGGAGGTTAGTGGCTCAGGTTAAAATTTGATTAAAATTATATGCACTTACAGTCCAACTGTCCCTGTATGTGTCGAAGTACTCCAGTTGATACTGTTTTGGGCACTCTGTCATATTAATCAAGCTTGCTGGCATGTTCCATGTGATCACAAGATGTCCAAGATGGCCAGGGTCTAATATCACAATGTCCTCAGGAGGATCCACTGTAAGTGAAAAGGAAATTTATTCACAGTGTGTATCTATTGTATTTTAGGAATATGGTATAATAATACAATGTAATAATAAAATCCAAAGCAGAATTTTAACAACATAAATGGCATGTAGAATTTCTGATAACTGCCTATTGCATTATTATCCTAAATCAATCCTATACTGGCAACTGTGCCCTGTCTTAACAGAACAATTTATTAAGTGTGCGCCCTATTAAATTCATTTTATTTTGACTGGCTTGCAAGGCACGTTAAGGATCTCGGTTTGTCGGGGGTTGAAATGATTCAAGGATAACTGAAGGGTGGCATAGGACCGATAAATTAATAATTGAAATAAACAAATCTGGACCAACCTGTAACTCCACTGCAATACATGCTCTCCCTCCAAGTAATTAAGAGCAGCATCAGTGTCACTTGAGGAGTAAGCCAGGATTTAGTCGCCATCAGCAGTTATATACACACTTATTTAAAAAAAGAAATGGAAAAAAAGGAAAAACAAAAACAAATGAAGATTGTAAAAAAATGTAAAACAAAACAGAATGAAAATATATTCAGAACTGCGCTCATTTTAAAATCTACTCGCATTAATCAAACAGAATAGAAATCCCCAAAACTAAATAAAAACATCACAAAATGACCGTAAAGAGATCTTTGGAATGACTTTCTACTTATGAACAAAAACATGATATTGAATGAAATATTGCCAGACCAAATAAATCCGTCAGAGTTAAGAGATAAATGTACTTACATTTTAAGTGAGAGAGCGTTTTTTCTCCGGAGCAAGTTCAGGCAGAGTTTAGAGAACTGACTAGGCGTGGGTGGATGGACCCATTTATGTTGCTTGAGCAAGCGACTGCATCAGAATACAAACTCACTGTTTTTTCCGGTAGCGTCTGATCCTGCTGGCAAAAAGGATCTGGTATCCGCACTTGTATTGTTTTGGTGTGAACATCTCTATGGTGCTCTTAGGAAGAGGAAGATAAAGAGATAGCGGAGAAACAGGGAGAGTCCGTTGTTGTTCCAGAAAACAGTTAGTTACACTTTAATAACACATTTTGACACTTGTTGGATCATGCTCTGCCACCATGATTTTTGCATAAGTAATAATTCCACCGAAATTCTCCCTTCACTCGTCCATATAAAGATCATATTCCAAAAAAAAACCCCACATAAAATGATCTATTTAAATGCATGTGCATGGTGGTCAGTGATGCAAAAGATTTTAAACTTCAAACCACAAGATGTCAGTGAAACAAAACTTTTACTTGGTGTGAGAGAGTCCAGTCACTACTGTATAGTGGTCCTTGTCATTATTAGTTTCCCACTGTTGTCATGGGAGGGGTACAAATAACAGCCTTCACCTGATCCATGTACTTGTCACCTGTGTGGTGTTAACTCCATAATGTTAATCAGCACCCCCCATCACCTGCACAGTGTGCCTTGTGACACATTTCAGTTACTATCAGAAACAGATATGATCCCTCACTGGCTTCAAGATCTTGAACATGAACTTTAAAGTGCAGAAGGAAGTGGGTCACTGCTAAGGGGTACAAGCTGTGTGCTGCTTCCCAATTTAGGGTCTAAATCCAACTGCTGTGCACAAAACATGGGATATCTATCAGTGGAAAGTAACTATACTTAAGTACTATACCTATACTAATTTGAGGTACTTGTACTTGAGTAATTTCATGTTACACCACTTTATACTTCTAGTCCCCTACATTTCAGAGGACGTTTTACTCCACTACTTTCATTTGAGAGCTTTAGTTACTAGTTACTCTTCAGATTCAGATTAATACAAAACACAATCATCAACAAATAATGTCTTATAGATTAAGCTACCAAGCAATATTGTTAAAATTACTCCAATCTTTACTAGCTGCATCATAAAAATGATGCTTACACATAAATGCATCAATCATCATAATCAAATGATACAGTATATTATTCTGAAAGGTGCCATTCTGAATAATGTGTACTTTTACTTTTAGTACTTATATATATTTGTATATATTGTATATTTTGATGCTATGTCATGTAGGCTACTTTTATTCAGTAAAGTTTAGAATGCCAGACTTTTTCTCCTGACAGTTTTCCTACACTACTGGTACTGTTACTATTACTTCAGTTACTATTACCTAAGTAAAATAACATAGTAGTTTTTCCACCACTGTCAAGCTTCACAGAGACCAAGATTTGAGAAGCAGCAGACGCATAAAGTATAAAAAATATGTCACCAGGAACCATCAAATGGTCTGACAAATTGGTAAATACAACAGTAAAACCATCCATCAACCACTCTACCTGACTTGATTTGTATCTTTTTTTCTATATCTTTTTCATTTGACGGGTAAATATGACATATTGTTCAGTAACAAACAACCGCCTGAAGGCAAAAAACTGGTGGTGTTCTATTTCCCAACTTTACAATTTATTGCTTTTGCGGAGATAAGATTTACACAGCTGATTACTAGGGTGATTTGTCAATCTGACAATGCACAGTAAAAACTGATGTTATCGTTGTTCATTGCAATCATCTTATCATTTAATCATTTTAAGATGACTTTGAAATGGTTTAAAAGTTATTGTTGTTAAAGTTTATAATCAAAATATGTACTTTATAAACCTCAGTTCACTTGGAAGTCATGATATCATCTTTCACTGACCTTATCAACTATTACAACTACTATTTGAAATATTAAATTATGTCCATCATACAATAACTGTATTACCTAATTGTATAAGACTACTTTTTTTTCATGCATTCAAATAAAATTGTTTTTTTATTAAAATGTTGTTTTTTTTTAATAAAAAATAACTTAATTTGTGTGATTTCATACTGATTATGTGCTTATAAAGCATTATACCTGACTTTCTCTGGTAACAGGTCCAGACATGATTAGTCAGGGGTGCAAATCCCTGCGGTTTCATGCGGTTTAAATTCTGATTGTTACCTTGTCACTGTGTTTTGACGTAGTATTTGCTTTGGTTTATAATAACTAATATGCTTTAGACAATGAAGCCCCGAATGTGTGAAAACAGACATAATGTTTTTCTTTGCAATAAATGTGGAGAATAACCCAGGATAACCATGTCACAAAAAAGTTAAAGTTCAGGTTATTAGCCACAACTGGGACCAAATGCAAACACAGACATAGCTGATATGGTCTAGTACCAGTGGACAGCTGACTAGTAGACTAAAAACACAAATCCAAAAAGGAAAGGGCAGGAAAGGACTTACACACAAGTAATAGTACAGGACAGGCTAATCAGGCTGTCAGGAGGTTAGAGAGATTGACGGATCCACTTGGAAAGAAGTCAGAAGGAAAAGCTTGAGCTGCAGACACAGACGAGACTGCTCGGGGTTGGCAGAAGCTCAGAAACTGGAAAAATTAACAGCTTTGGAGGATGACTTGGTGAGAGGAGAGACACGGATTGGATCAGGAGGGCAAGCCCAAAGGCTGGAAACAAGTATGTCTTAGGAAAAACCAAAAGGATCACCTCACTTAAACCAATCAAAAACCTGGACTGAAGATGATGCAGCTTGGAGGGGATTCATGTAGGAAGACTGGGTTCGGAGGAGGAACTGCAACACTGAGGAAGAAGAAAAATGGGTAAAAATAACCCCAAGAACCCAGACCTTTTTAGCTTGTGTGTGCTTGTATCTCTCTGTTCTAGTATTGTACGATCGTACATAACAGTTGAAGTGAAATACTAAATACTACTAAGTCCAACCTAAAAAGGCTGTCAGGTCATATTACTGGATCTTGCAATTTTTATTCATGCTAAAATTGCAGCTTACACTTCAGCTGCAAGGCAAAAAAAAGAGAGAAAAGGTGTGAATTAAAGAAAATTATATAACAGGTTGGTCAGAGTGCATTAGATACCCCTATCCTTACAACCAAATGTCAAAGAACAATGTTTCTAAGCCTCAAGCCTCCAAAATGACAGCACATAATTTATCTAATTTCCCTGCCCCTGCACATAACTTCAAGCCAGCATCATGCACTCATGCCCCAAAGACAATAAGGAAGTGTGCCCAAATCACCAAAATGTGAAACACCACAAATGAAATGGCAGTCTTGTGTTGTTAAAGGGTGCTAGATTACTGGGGAGGAGTAAAAGATTCATCAGTGAAACACTAAAAAGCAGTGTTCGAAACAAACTGAGCGCTGACGACAGATTTTGACAAAAAGATGTATAAGACGGGCTCAGCCTGCGAGAAGCTGACTCAGAGAGGCAGAAGCAGAAAAAGGGCTCTGACTGGGAGACAAGGACCAGATCAAAATGGAACAAGCTCAGAAATGGGGACATGGAGGAAGAGTCTGAGGAGAAGGAAGAAGGAGAGATTGCAGGTATCACAAGACAGAAGGTGTAGACAGCTGATTACCTTATTGGTTTGGGTTTTAGGTGGTTGATTCTTTTTTTCATCTTAATCGAGGAAATCCAGGATAGTCACAACAAATTACAGTTATCTACATATTCGCACAATAAATCATTGTCATTGCTTCAGGTGGCACCATCAAGGTACTCTACTGATAAGAGCTTCAGATTCATGTAATAAAGAGAAGACAGACAGGAGCTGCAAAGAATTTGACTTTATTTTGATATTGACCACGTTTGTTTGTTTTAAGAAATCCCTGGAATTTATACAGATGATATGTACAGAGGTTCAGCTTCAGCCATTCAGTATTCTTGCATGCATCTGACTTGTTTTAAAATACAAAAAGCTTATATACATTAGTTTGAATTTTCTTGGCAGTGTAGTATTTAGACATGACTCACTGTTTCACCTTTTCTTTGGATGAGATGACAAGTGTCAATCATAAAAAGCAAAATTCTGATAGCCGTGTCAACTACAAGATGTAATTTGTCCAATAATTCCAGAGACGTTACGGAATTTGTAGTCACACACACATTATGAAACACAGATCAGCACCTCTAAAGTATCTGTGGGAAATTTGTGACTTCTCCATGATTCAGAGTAAAGGGAGTGACATACAAACGTGCCAGGCTTCGTAAAATATCTTCAATGGAACGTATTAATTAGTGAGATCAGCACAAAAGAAGAACAGAATAATAAAGTAAAGAACAAAGTAGAACTGTCCTTAGGGTAAAACACTATGTTCACAGATGATAACACACACGTTATAAATGACAATCAGCTATTACATTTTAAAGGATAGCTTTGTATTTTTTGTCTGTCTCACTCGAATGCCCATACAGTAAGTATGCTGAGAGGTTTGTCAGAGAGATTCCATTGTTTCCATAGTCCTAATTCTAGGAAAAAATACTTCTCAAAGTTCAGCCAAAGCTAATATGAGGCTTCAGCAGTGAGTTGGACTAACCCACAGGGAATCTTCTTAAGTTACAGTCTAATCATCTTTGTGTTACTATTCCTCTGTGTAAGCACAATGAGGAAATGTCACATTAAAATGACTGAAAATCTAGATAGCTAGATTGATAGATACCCAACTGTTTTGTCTGACTCAGACAGCTGAAGATTAGATTTGAGAGAATCATTAGTATAAATTGTGTCTACAGTGACAGTTGGCATTGAAATGAAGGTATAAAAGATTATCTTCAAGATTTAGCAGTAAAACCATGAAAGGGCAACATCACATAAAGTGTGTGCAGGGAAATAGCAGTGACATATGATGACTTACACTCCATCCAAACATAAAATTAACTTGTTTTGCTCTCCTTAGCTCATAAATGAATGAGTCATAACAACTTTTAGGGTGTAAACTAATAGAGAACTGAACAAGACAGCACACCTATCGCACACACATTAAAGGAGGGAGGGGGAAATATCCACTCTTAAATTGAATTGCATTGCATCGGAGTTATGTAGGTCATCAAATAATAATTTTAGCACTTGCTCACCTCTAGCATGCATGTACCAGCATGGCTGTAAACTCATTAAACACAATTAGGCAACTACTGAGAATTAACATGGGTCCTAAAAGGAAACATAGCTATAGAAAAATGAACACACACAAGGAAATATTGCATGTTCAGACAAGCAGTGCGTGTTAGCATGGACATAAAGGGGGAAAAAATCTGACGTCGGGTGAGTCACGTCTAGCACATCCATCAGCAAAACAGAGAGAGGAGAGCTTTGAATTTCCACCTTTATAAGGTCAAAGATCTTTCAGGGTGTGTGATGGTTTGAATTATGTTGGCTAACGTTGCCACACCTTATGTAAAAAAGCATTTCATGAAGAAAAAAAACAGCTACATGTAGGCTCATAGATTGATATATAATATATATAACATTTGATTTGGATTGTTCAGTTTTTTCCTCAGGAGAGAGAATGTCAGGATGTTTGTGCTAGTTCTCCCTTGCAATGCAATACAATTCAAATAAATTTGATCCCAATTAAAAGCCACAGCAGTGACAACACTAGGCCACAAAATATCTCCTTTGTGGTGTGTCTTTCTAGTTTGCGCAATGACTCATTGGGTGCCAGTATCATAAAAATTAATTAAAATTCAAACTCAATCCTAAAGATAGACATGAAACATAAAGTTACTGTGAGCCATTTGAAAACTCAAAACAATTGATTATGTGCATATGAGACAGCAGTGCATACTGATGAAACATGTCTGGCCATAACTTACTGTATAAGTTATGGCCAGACATTTTTAGCCAAGTCTTAACATATCATTTTTTAACTTTTGATCTGCAACGTATCTGAATCTAAACCACTAATAGTAGGCAAACCTGAGGTAGGATACACATCAGTTCAATGTCTTCATTGTCTTCAAACCTGTAATTATAGACAGATGATGATCATGAGAAGTTACAATGCTACCTTCAGTGATAATGCCTTTGCTCTGTGACTCTTGTTGTTCAGATATAGCCAGCACAGCTTGTGTAATGCTAACATAGCACTGTGTGCTACATCAAATTGTACATCAGCTTGTGTTTCACAGTAAATGAACATTTAACATGGTGGTAATTGCAGTCAATATGTTTCACAGATGCTGTTCGAAGATGCAGCCCACTGTTGCACATGTATTATTTACTGGATGTGTATATGTCTACCCTTTAAAAGGGAGCATTTTAAAGGGTAGACACATACATAGGGACATACATACACGTTTGATACATATATGGTGGACAGGAGCATAAAAGATGATTAAGATGATGATGGATTAGGATATTTCTTGAGTGAGAGCATGTAGCGCAACTATAGATTAGCCTACAATACACCCAGAAATTCTGTGGGATTTTCTGCATAAGAAAAGGGTGTAACATGACTGAACAGATATGTCTATATATCCTGATAAACCAGACAACCTCTATTATTTTTTACCTCTGGGGCATTTCTTCTCTGGAAAATGATGCCGCAAGTGAGTAAATACCCATTCAGAGAAGGCAAAGTTTCTCAGGAACATCAATAAAATGACATTCCAATGTGGGACCTTTGTACTGTGAGACAGTTGGAAACTAATACGTGCTAGTCATGCAAGACTCAATGAACTAAACCTCAAGTACAAGTCTCAGATTTTCGTTGTTTATGTAATGAAGACCATGGAGTTGTCCGATTATTGAGCTCTAACTAAATTCTTCTCCAGTATGGCAGCCAGTCAAGAGTTGTAGCTCATCAGCAAAGAAGATGACTACAACTCATGGTGTAAGACTGCAGAAAACCCAAAGAATACTACTTTAAGGCACAATATGTCATGTTTTCAGATGTTACAATGCTGTTTAACATGATATATGTGGACTTTCAAGGTGTTGAAGTGGCACTAAGTACTGTTGTCCTCCAAGATGTTTCAGCTACACAAACAATACACTGATATAGCAGTTTTTGCATTATGATTTGCTATGTCCTCACTAAACATCAAAACTCTGCTCTAACTGCCTTGCTTACTTGTTTCTGTTGTAAACATGGGACTTTGTGTCAATGACAGGCTCAGAGCTCATTTAATTGATGTCACTGATGTTTTAAATGAACTGAAATGTTTTTTCGAGTTCTCCAAGCTTCTCTGAGTTTTTTTTACTTTGATATTTATAATGAACCCATAATGTGGTTTACATCAATTTCTGTTAAAAAAATTTTTTTTCACAAGTTGGAGACCTAATTTTAAAAATGAAAGGTGCACCACAGCTGCCTGTGCTATCCAGAAAATCAAGACTAGGTATTATGCTGCAGAAATAATAGCCCATAAATAAAGTACTAATAATAGTGCAGATTTAACAGAAGGTTTAAGGTAACAGGGTGCAGCTTTATGTTGAAATTGATTGTACTGCCACATTGTACAGTTTTAAATACCCCTAAAGTCAGCCTTTGTGAACATGCTAAACTCTTGCGTGTTTCGTCAAGCCTCTATTATGCTGTCAACAATGTTATCATTTCTATTGACAGATGGTGTGGTATGTTTTGTGTTGATTTAACTTTGAATTATTCTCATGTTATTCTACTGTCAACCAATTAAAAATACTACATGAATCAGTGTGACAGCTGTCACTAAATCCTCTTAAATAAAACATCTTACTGCTTTAAATCATTAAGTTGAGCAGGATCATGCAGAAACACATCTAAATGTCCAGCTGCCCCGCACCTGAACATGTTGTCAGGGTTAAGATGCACAAAGCAACAACATAAAAATATAAAACAAAGGAATAAATACATAAATAATTTAATTTCCCTGAAATAATGAACTGTATCTGAAACCACAAACAGCAGGGTGGCCTGACAGTAAGATCAGGCCATGTGTGAAAGGTTTGCATTAGTGATAGCCTCTAAGCAGCACTGAACCCCTTTCTGATCCAGAGGCCTTTCACTCAGGAGACTTCACTCATAAACACACACAGTATAAACATGTTTCATCTGAGATTATGCAAAGCAATAAAATCTTGACTGTTTTGTGTCCAACATGGTGCACCCATGTTATGAACTCCACAGAAATGGCAAGTGATAGTTGGCAATGACTGGGAAGAAAGTATAAAAGCTTTAGAAAAGTTAGTATACAGAATTTGCAAATACAGAAACCTTGCATGTGCAATGAAAAAATGCTACAAAACAGGACCTCCGTGCTTTTGACCACAGCCAAGCACGTGTTCTCACAGTGGTCAAATGTCACTTCCCTCTGTGCATGCAGATTTGAATTGAGAACTTCGGTATGGAGTTGCACATGATTTGTACAGTAATTTAAATGTGAAACCAGAGTTTCAGGGAAAACAGAAGGCAGAATGTCTACTGTGATTGCTCAAATGCAATACTTACTTGCAAATAAGTCAACTACTTATAAATCAGGTGTGGCTGCTGAAAAGAAGATACAGTAGGGACCTGATGCACACCATGTAAAAAAAGAGAACATTATACAATAAAGTCAAAAATTAATTTTCATGGAAAAATAAATTCCACAAAAGGGAGAGAAACTCAAGAGTGTAAGAACCCCTTGAGGTCAGTCAGTGGCTTGTGGCTGCAAGGCCAGTGTGCAGCTTAGGTCTTGTTAGTGAAAGAGTGAGTAACATGTCTGTCATCTCCTCACTGCCAATGTCTCCAACACCAGCATGGAAATGTTAGTACTGGCACTTGCAGGCTCACTAATCACTGAGCTTATGTTGAGAGGGATGTACAGATCATCCATTGTCTTGTCTGTTTCTCTTTCAGCAAGTTCAAACTGTGCAGCTCACACAGGCAACACACAGTCACGTTGCTAGTCCACACACATACAGGATGACCCCATTAACTAGGAGCAGGATACAAGTGAAAATGTGATGGACAAGAAGTGGGTGGCGTCTGACATCATATAAAGAGACAGAGGTATTTCTTCCTCCTGTCTCCTGTTTCAGTCAGGCAGAAGCAGACTCCCAAAGAACCACTGCCCACTGGGTCCTCGCCCAAAGGGGCTCTCTGGTCCCTGGCAATTGGGTGCGGGTTTGGGCTGGGGAGAGGGGTTGGCTGGATGACTGCAGGTTGGACACAACATTCAGGCTTGTGTCAAACAGCTGAGAGTTGTGTGGGCTTCGATGGAGGCAGATCCAGCAGAGCCTGGACAGTCACACCCACTTTCACCAGACCGCGCTCTTCTAGGATGTGATGGGGCAGACACAGCTTGTCCTGAGTTAGCGGAGAGACGTCTTCAGTTACAGTCAGCAATATTTACTATGCTTCAATTGGTAATTTTCCGATCTAAAAATTCTAGTCATATCCTTTGACCTGCAAAGTTGCAGCATCAACCCAACTGAACCCTAAAACGAACTACAAACCAGGAAACTGATTTCCAAGTGTAACACCCTACACTGCCAACATTTCACCTTGGCAGGCTTGGGTCACTTGCCTGCATTTGCATATGTGGGACTGTGCCATGAATCTTAAAAGTAAAAGTGAAAGGTTTTGACATCAACGTCAGACTTTTAGTGTATTTTAATTATTTAATTGTTCAGTAGTAGTTGCATTTCCCAATGAGGTATTCAGTTGCTTATGACATTAAAATGACTGTAGCCTTTTTTGGCTTCCATACAAAAATCTGTGTGGGGCGATACCACTCGAGAATGGCTTTCACTTAGATTCCTATCAGTATTGACAGAATTGTATTTGAAAAAGAATGAATGTAAATACTTATTTGACAGGCAGATCTTGCCATGGAAAATAAACACTTACAATTTCCATTAGCTATGGGATAAATTTTCCACCAGTACGACGCTCAGCTAACAAACTAGACCAGCGAGTGTGCATGACAGAACATGTAGAGATTTACTGTAGTACAGTCAGTCAGTAGGTTTGTAAGTTGGTGTATCGTCCAGAGATCAACAGTTGATATGACTGGTAGATAATAAAGTTGAAAAACAAACATAACACAATGTAAAGTAATACAACAGTAAGTAACATATTGTGTGAATGATGGATTACCTGTGTGACACCCAGCTTCTTACAGGCATCCAAGAAGTTCTCCACATTCCTACGGCATTTAGCCATGCTCAGCTTTGGCTGGAGGCCAGAACATCAGTCATGTTAGAAATTAAATGCAGAGCAAACAAAAAACTACGAAACCAAATCAGGAAGCTGTAAGGTTTTGTAGGTTATGGAGAAAACAAAGCACACTACATCCAACTATTGTGAGAGTGAGAATAAAATATCATTTATTACCACAAAGTAGCATCTTTTCAATTAATCTATAACTCGGTTTAAAATAAAAGGCGTTTCAAGGAGTTTCAGGTCTACTTACCACTGCAGGAGATGGTACATGGATGCTGGCAACAGACCGAGGACAAATGTGATTGGCTAAATGGCAAAGAACAACTCCATCCATCAGAGCAGCTCCAACATCATCTGGGAGCAACACCTTCAGTCTGGACTCAATGTTCTGCAAAGAAATTAACATTGACCTTATGACGTCACTGTCCTCTCAAGAACAATGCATATTTTGGTTGAAAAAGGAGTTTATTTAATTACAGTGAGGTCTGTCTCCTCTTTAGACACTTTTTTGTTTTTTATTAACCAGGAAGGTCCAACTAAGGCACATCAGCAAATAATCTATTAGTGAGAGTAGGTGTAAACACAAATGCAACCACCTAATAGGCAGAAATGGGATCTGGGTGTGTAGTAGGTGTAATTGTAGTAGTCAGTAGACTGTCCAGGCCTGCTCTGTATGAGTTAGTCATATCTGGGCATGTTTACAAAATAATGTCACTGCTGTAAATTGGTCATTATACACTGGTCCTGATAATAATCCTGTTTACACAAGAGCAAATTTTCCAGAGAAAATGGTGTTTATGGTTAGTCCTGATTAATTGAGTTCAAGGTGCTTCCAATATATATCATACACACACACACACACACACACACACACAGCAGATCTAAATGAGCCCAAATAAATCATCCGGGGCAGTATTCATAAAGCTTTCTACTTCAAAGACTTGCTCCTAGTGATGAAATTCTACGAAAATTCTAAAAATTATGATTATGATTGATAAAAATTTCTCCTTACCGTTAGGACTAGATCCTGGTAAAGATAAAAGTTATTCACAGAGCATCTTAGCCCTTGAATGAGATCAGGGGGAGAACTGGAGGACTTTTAAAAGAACTCTTAAGTTCAGCAGTTCATTTTCACATTTTGCATGCTCACAAATGACATTAATTGACATTAATATCAAATATATTAATTCCTAAAGTCATTAGCTTGTAAATGTAAGCAAATAAATATAACAACTATCAGCATGTGAAGAGGCTACTGCGCAAATAGGCCTGTGTTTTCAAACCGTATGGCTTATAAGATATTCAACAAAGATTCATTCCATCAAATAGTTTTAATAATTAAACCATGTTTTAATAGAGACTAAATTATATGATTAGGCCTTTTACTGTTCATTTTATAGTCATTATCACAGTGCAGTTTTCATTTTTACTAAGGTAAATGTTTCTGTCCCGTCCTTTGCTAAGAGATGCTCTGAGAAAGTTCCTAAATCACACCTAAGCTCAGACTCCTTGCTAGAATTGTTTTGGCTAAATTAGGAGCTCTCTGAGATTTTTCTTAGCATGTTTGTTAATACAACCTCTGATTTGTATTAATTGCTGCTTAATAGGATCTGATGCAGAACTTTTGTGTGTGTTTTGTGAATGTGGATGGCCTCCTTGGTCTTTTTCACCCCTTCAAAGTCAAGGCTGCGACCTGCTTTCGTCTAGTGTTCATGGACAGCTCATTCAGTCTCTAGTCCAGAGTCCTTGTCAATTTCACAGAGGTTGTAATCCTCAAAGCTGTCACGTGTGATAGCTCTTAGGAGTGTTAGGGCATGTGATGACAACTGGGCTATCTCCTTCTCCAAAACTACACGCCAATGACAGAAAGATAAAATCATGCAAAAATTAATGGTCTGTTGCATTGCCGTTCTTTAGTCATGCATTGTTGTGGTGCTGAATGGAGAGCTCCTGAAAAATTACTTAATACAGTCTTTACCCAATAAAGTGTTTTCATTGTTTGAACTGTGACTGAAAAAGTTGTCTTAACTCACTGTTTCACTCTCTCTTTTCTGTTTGTGTGCCTGATAACAGATTTAATATTTCTGACACCATTTCCTCTGCTGCAGTGTTGATACATCCCTTCCCTCCACCCAAATTGTGCACCTCTAAAAGGGAATGCCATAAGGACATATTTCATGAGCCCAAACTAAATTGTGAAACCTTGGTTGGTGAACAAGGGGTTATTTTGTTCTCAGCAATAATGGTGTTTCCTAAATGTGAAACTCTGGTCCATGCCATTTCTTTTATGAAACTGTTGAATTTCCTGGAACTAGAAGTAAGTGTAATTTCTCACCAACTCTGATAATGCTTTTATTGAGACTGAAAAGTCATTCCTGACCTTGGAAACAGTTGCGGACTGTTTGACTGTGCCCTAACTTCTTATATTGTGAAAGAATCAGTTGTGGGTGGCACATACAGGGAATGTCTGCTTTATTCTTCTCAGCATCTGGTGAGTGAAGCACCTTTGATGTCTTTTGTCAGTCTGTCATCTACTCAGTCAAAGGTGGCACCGAGGTCTCTGTGGGTTTGCTACTACAACAACAACAAAGTGCCTAGAAGCATTCTTTAATCTCACTTGGCACATGACCTGACGTCTCTACCCTTGTTCTTCTAGACCAGGAATCTCAAACGTGCCATTTCTTATCTTCAAGCTGCTTTCCTTCTCCCATGTTCTTTGGTTACCTCTGGTTTCGAGCCAGGAACATTAGAACTCCTTTTACATAGCTTAATAGTCTCTGACAGTCTCTAACTTGCTGCTGAGACTTTGATTATTCTCAGATTCTGTACTGAGACTCAGCTTCATAACAAAACCTCTCCCCTTGGCTGTCAGTGCCTCATTCCTGGCCTGCTGCATGCAACTGATGGGCGTGGCCGCTTCTTTATATTAGTGCTACATTACGAGTATCAGGTTTAACTGTATTATTAGAAAGAACGTAGTTTAGCACGACATAAACTGCTCCCACGACTGCAAAAATACTCCTATTGCTACTAGGGAATTACACATTTTACTAGCAAGTAAAAAGTACTAGTACGAGCCACCACTATGACTACTACAAAAACTATGAACATAAACGCTCCACTAGATGGGCCTTACACAATGAGAAGAGTCATATGGTTGATTCATTGAACAGTATGACTCAGCTTCTTAGAATCCAAGTGACACTTCCATACCGCTAAATGGGAACACTCAGTAAAAGCACACAAAATTCCCTGGACATTTGATTTAGATGTCACTTATTCACTTAAAGGTATAAACACTGGAACAAAGGCAGGATCTGGCAGACTTGACGCCTAAAATGACCTGATGCTTTGTGCAAAATGCAAATGCACAAACAAGCGGTGAGGCTTCTGACCTGCCGTAAGAGTCCTATCTGTTCCATTTCCTCTCTCAAGTGCTCCATCTTCCTCCTCATGGTGAAACTGGGGTCTGTCGAGGCGTACTCCTGGCGGCTTCCTCTGGTGAAGGCTGAAGTGATAAACGAAGGGTACAGTTCTGAGTTCCAGGTAACACACAGTGAGATACAAGAGAAGAAAATACAAGGAAAAATGACAACTGATAATCCTAGAAAGTCAAGCACAGGTCAGTGTGATAAGAAATTAACACATTCCACTGCCACCGACTAGGAAAGTCTGCCAAATAGTTAAGTGTAGTTTAGTTGAATCTGTAATTTGATATGGCCAAAAACCAAGGTTTCTAGAGAATGTCTAAAGATCACAGTTCTGGCGTTACCTTTTATCCTTAGATACTGCAACATTGTACGGGCAAGTACATTTCCCACAACTCCTCATGAAAATATTTTGTTAGAATTGCAGCCCAGTTAAATTACCAGAATTTATTCCTTTATTTCTGGAAACTCAGTTTCTTACAATATACGATTTTAATGTTTTCCAAATATAATTTAATTTAGGAGAAGTCATAAACCATGGGCTGCAATTTATCACAGTATGTGTCACAAGATTGAGTATTTAAATTTGTGTGCAGCAATAGTCAAAAGTCCAGTGAATGCATCTTCATTTGTCTGATAGTACACGCCATCATGATCCAGTAAATGAGGAACAGGAAAACGATGTGAGACATGATGTATTCTTGCACTTTTAAATATAAGACAAAATTCAAAGAGGGTAATCTTTCCTAATGAGTTTAGCTCTTATTTTAAAACTAATTCACAATTTCACTTCTACTTAAAGGTCCAGTGTGTAACTGGATCAATTGGCAGAAATGGAATTAAATATTTATAGGCTTGTTTTCATTAGTGTATAATCACCTGAATATAGGAATCATGTTTTTCCTACCTTAGAATGAAACATTTTGGTCTACAGACCCTGTCGGTCGCCTTTCATGGAGTCCGCCATATTGAACCGCCATGTTTCTACAGTAGCCCAGAACGGACGAACCAAACACTGCCTCTATATAGGGCCCTTTGCAATTTTTGTGGACACCGTAGATTCTCCTACACGCCTGGAGTAAACGGTGGTTGGTTGCAATGTGCAATCTCACCACTAGTTGCCACTAGAGGCTACTGAATGAGCAGATTGCAACTAACTCAACAAGGCTAGAGCCTGCGCCGGTATCTGTGGACAAATGCGGACCAGTGAGACACGGCACGGTAAAGGTGCGTCCAGTAGGGTACACACCTGCACGTGCGCCCACCAAAGAGCTCCCGCCGAAAATTCAAAAGGCGCCCGTAACGTCTACAGCCCAGTGTTTCTGGTTTGTCTGTGTCGGGGCGTACTGTACGAGACACGATGGCGGTTCAACATGCGGACTCCACTTAAAGGAGGACCCCGCTCAGCCTGTACCCCGAGGCCGTGCACTAGATCATTCTAAGGTATTATACTCTAAACTGAAATTGATATTATATTCAATTTCTGCCAACAGATCCTCTTAAGTTTTACAAACGGGATCTTTAAGTAACACTTTCAATGAAGGACTTTCAATGTGACCGAGTATTTTTCAATGTGGTATTTTAATGAAGTAAGGGATCCACCACCAGTGTTTTTACATTTAGTCATAAATTAGTAATACACAATGTCTTTGTTGCACCTCAATAAAACTCATCAGGAAAGGAGACATTAATCCTGTTGTGTCTTGACTTGACTGCTAATGCACTGATATAGAACAGATCAACAGTTCCTCAGAAACCTTTCCGACTTCCAGAGAAAAGACTCCACCTAAAAAAACATTTTTTGGCTTCACGTGAAGAGGAAAGTGTTCACATTACAACAGATATCAGGCTTAGGTTACAATAGGGCACTGTCTCAGTGTTTCTTCAAGCTTAGATGGTAATACTTTCAGCAAGTGCAAGCCAACTGCACCAAATATAGACTAATCTAGCTAATCCCATTGATTCAAAGAAGAACTTTGTTCCACTCCACTGATACAAAAAACAATGTAATTTTTGCTATTTACCAATTTCAAATATTTATTTAAGCTATTCTTTATCAAGTCTTAAGAGCTTCTAGTATATTTTTTTTATTGAGAAATCTGAAGAGGGCATTCAAATGTGACATTCAAACTGATGTCACAATTGACATGGATGGGTGATATTCATCAAACGTTTAAAATAATAATGGTGTGGCAGGTTATTTTTAAACCCATGTTTATTATAGCAGTGAAGGAAAAACAGCGAGCCAAAATTTAACACAGTAAAGGTCATTAAAAAAAACAGTTTTCTATTACCTGATCTTGGCTTTAACCCAAACACTGTCAGGGTGGTGCCGAAGTCAGCGTTGCGCAAGCCATCCTGAAGACAAAACATTCATTACAATCAGAGTACGGCATTGTGACAGCAGTGAGGTGAGTTTTGAGAAGATATTTAGATTTTTATCTACACAACATGGTTTGTCACCAACCTCATTGTCGTCATTCCCACTGGAGTTTTTACGAGCACTCTGACATTTGTACTGGAAAAGAAAAAAAAAAAAGTATCATTCAACACTAATTGTTTTACTTCATTTGTACTAAGGGCCTCAGTTTTTGACTATGAATGCAAATGTTTAATAAAAAAAGAAAAAAAAGAATGGCCTTATCATTATCATACATTATTTCCTGATGTTATCTTTAATCAAAACAACTGTTCCAGCAACATTTCTTGAGAAAAACCTGGTACTTACTCAAGATCTTAACTGATGCAAATGTTTTCACCTTTTAAATCACACACAACATGTTTTCTGCCACCAGTAAAGGTGTCAAGCAATGCAGATAGTTGTATGTTTTACTGGACCAGGTTCTTAGATACCTGACTCGAGAACTCTGCTGCGACCCCAATATAAAAGAGGAGAATGGAATTTGTGGCGCTCAAAGAGTTGAAAAAAATAAAATTATCCCAGTTACTCTGGAGAATCAACAGACCTCACTTTATTGGAATAAACAAAGAAGCAGACCCTGTTAAAACAGTGTCTACAGTGAGGTCTGTGGACTGTCCACATTGTCCGGATACACACTGCTGATAAGTTTTTCAAATGTATCAGTTGTTTCAGTTGTGTGAGCACCACAAACAAAACTCTCATAACTCCCATAAACTTGAGTAGCAACAGGAATTTTATAGAGATAAATATCTCCAAACCAAAGAAAACAAGTCAGTTGCCTAAGAATTTATCCTCAGGCATCTAATGAGGTGTGTTCTGCAGAATATTGAATTATACCAGGCATAAATTACGAGACCTATGCACACCTTCAGATAATCCTTTCTCAGGTACTTGTTCCTCCTGCGATCTTCATTCTGATTGAGGACGGGTGGGACTTCGGGCCACTTTGGCTCTGAATCCGACTGATCCATCTTCAGGCTGCCATCAAAGGAGCAGGATGAAGAAGGCTGTAAAAGCAGCAACATCACATTAGGAATGGGAGGCGCAACCACAAACGAAGTAACTGATAAACACCACATATGTGAAATATTACTGATATTATGTTTTCTTTGAAGTAAAAAGGTTTGTACCTGTCCACTCAGCACTGATGCTCCACTACTTCCTTCATCCAGAGAAGCACTAGAATAGAGACACGAGTAGCATCAGGTAATTATATCACAGTATTATATAACATTAAAGACACTATGGCCCCGTGAAAGAACCTTTTCTAATTGTCGCTCTCTCTGGTAACACTGTTTGTATCAGTGGTTCTTGCAAGTTAAACACTACAGAAATGGGAGACACTAGCTGGTTTCAGAAGATAAAATGTGAGAATCTGTTGTTATCTTTTATATCTTTTAAATGTAACATCTTTGTGTTTTGAACGGAAGAAAAATTGTAATGTTTGGCTCCTGGAAATTGTGACGGGCATTTTTACATTTTTACAGTATTTTTAAAATCATTTTATGGACTACAGGATAAATCACAAAAAAAAGTCACCAGTTTAATCAATAGGATCTAATGCAATCTATTGTATCATAGTAGAAGAAAATACCTTGCCTCTCAATTAGATTTTTTTTTTGAAAATGGGCTACAGTATATTCTGAAAAAATATATATTTCTCCAAAGTTCACTGTCTCTGGACACATGAGTGTTTCATCAAACAGCGAGCAGAGATAAAATTACAGCATATAACAATTATTGTAGATATATTGCTCTATATGAGGACTCAGCAATATATGCTTCAGCAAGACTGAACAGTACATACCTACGAGCGGTCTGAGGTGGGGGCCTCGGTTTGCTGCTGGAGCTTCCAGAGTGACTTAGGAATCTGCAGATGGAAACAGATGCAGGTGCGGTTACAGAGCTGCACGTAAACAACAACTGTTACAACACATTAATGCGTGCACACAATCCCAAGGTCGGCAATGACTCATGTTACAGGATGTATGCAAATTGTCAACCATTTACAGTTACATGTTTACAAACATGGATGGCCTGCGAAAAAACAATGGGCTGAGTCAGATTCAATGGAAGTTTCACCAACCGAGCAACAAAGGGCAATTCATCTGCACAATGGATGGGAGAGTATTTAAGAGCATCGGCTTGACTTCTTCTTTAAGCTTGCGCAAACCAGCTCACAGTAAAGATGAGCTAATTTCACTTCAAATATGGAAATATTCATAGGTTCAAGCAAAGAAAACGCTTAGGTTTCCAAATACTGATCCACTAATCACAGGGCAAAAAACCCCATTAAAGCCTGGATGGGAATGTGTGTTTTTAAAAGCATTGTATACTGTACCGTAGATATGGAAATACAGGTTTGTTTGACTCGATCAACGGTTATCTACTCAGTGTGACATACAAACTATCTGTTGATGGATTGATTGATTGTTTGATGATAAAGAAAATCCATCTACCTGTGTGCTCGGCCAGTCACTCTCCGTCGGTGAATAAGACTCTCTGCTCTGCAAATTAAGGACCGTCGTCTAGAAGCGTTTGTAATGCATTACATCAAACGTGCAGCAGCCGAGTGAAGGAGAGAAAGCAGGGAACAAGAGAGTAAGCGAAGTGCTGATAAGAATTTGATATGCAGAGATGAAAGAGGTAAAATGGTGATGATGGAGCAATATTTGTTGATGTCATGGCAAACTGTGTGGATACTGAGAAACACAGTTCTACAGTTTCAGCCTGAAGAATGCAAATAAATATGTTCGCCTGACCAATGGGAGCAACTCACATGAGTACACAACATAATGAGGACAATGGAGACAGTCAGAGAAGAAAGAGGTGGATTTAAGCAGTGTAATGAATGGAGATATAAAGTAATGGCAGAGCAGAATGTTTTCATTAAGTACGGCGATGGCTTTTGTTAGGAGGAGAAAGAGGAGAACCACACATATGAGGGGCCGTCAGGGACATTATTCAGAATTACCTCTCACACACACTACTGAAACGCTCTCACACACACTACTGAAACGCTCTCACATACACTACTGAAACGCTCTCACACACACTACTGAAAACGCTCTCATATACACTACTGAAACGCTCTCACACACACTACTGAAACGCTCTCACACACACTACTGAAACGCTTCTCATATACACTACTGAAACGCTCTCACACACACTTACTGAAATGCTCCTCACATACACTACTGAAACGGCTTCATATACACTACTGAAACCTCTCACACACACTACTAAACCTTCTCATGATACATACTGAAAACGCTCTCACACACACTACTAAACGCTCTCACACACACTACTGAAACGCTCTTATATACACTACTGAAACGCTCTCACACACACTACTGAAACGCTCCTCACACCACTACTGAAACGCTCTCATATACACTACTGAAACGCTCTCACACACACTACTGAGACGCTTCTCATATACACTACTGAAACGCTCTCACACCACACTACTGAAACGCTCCATATACACTTTACAACTGAAACGCTCTCACACACACCTACTGAAACGCTCTCACACACACTACTGAAACGCTCTCACACACACTACTGAAACGCTCTCTATACACCACCATGCTGCTGCAAATACTCACTGAGGCACTAAATAGTATTAGTATGCATCTTGAAATAGTCCCCTATAAATTCACAATTTCCTCCAGTTTGACCAACATTTTCTAAAAACTACAGTGTCCAATTGTTCCAGGAAACTACTGAGCCCTTTTAAAAATGAAATATAGTTTCATTAACGTTTGTGTCCTGTTTTTAATGATTTACGTCTTTTGTTGAAAACACCTGGCCACATAGCCTACGGGATGGGGGAGTTGGAAAGCCTTTGAGAGACAGACTAATGCATTATTAAGATGATTATAGCAAAGGACCTTCATTTTGGTAAGAGGAAGGATGCTATCAAAAGAAATCATTGTTCACATTAAAAAACTGAAGCATCTTGGGGGCACCACCCTACCAAAAGGGAAATGGATAACCAATTAATTAATTTAGGCTCCACAGAGTTATTGACTTGTTCAGTGTACAGTGGACCTACAACAGGAACAGTGTAGTTTGTCTGTGTGGACCACTGTCAGCATTCTCAGATGTATTCGGTCCCATGTGACTTGAGTTGTCTGTCTCTGTCTCTCTCTCTCTCTCTCTCTGCAGCAGACATCTTCACACACACCCCT